TGACAGCCAAAGGAGCACATTTATACATGCAGGGACAAAATCAAGACATTTGTTCTAATGGCACTCAGGCCCCCTTCCTGCTTATCCTATCTCCCCCATGGGGTTTCTCCTCCTGTGAAAGCTAATGAAACAGATCAGCAAAGCTATCTATGGTGGGGACACAGAAAACCAGCCCCCTGAAGGTTGCATATACAGGACTGCAGATGGACAAGTAACCTCATCTTACCCCCATCCCTATCAGGATGGGTGGAGTTATTGGTTTGTTTAAACTAGAAAACAGACTCAAGGTTCAAAACGATTACTGAAGTTTTGAAGCTCTCCCATATGTGGTTAAGATATGCGGCCAAACAGACAGATGTGATCTCACTAGCCTTTCTGTGCATTCGGTGTGAACAGGGCTGTTGTTGTGCAAGGAGGCCGGGATCAAGGTCAACAACTATCGGGTGTGCCACAGTGGGAAAGTTCTACTGTAATGCTTACAATTCCTGGGAAGAGCACCAGATAGACATTTAGACAGCATTCTCAATTAGTTGTAGAGCATTGACTAGGCAAGTGCATGAGAGACCAGGGTTCAACTCCTGCTCAGCCAAGGAAACCCCTTGGGGGTATGGAACTGAGAAAACCACTCCTAGAACATCTCACACACCATGAAAACCCTATCAGGGTTGCCATATGTTGGAGGTGTCTGGACAGCATATAACAGCTCCAAGAGGCCACCTTGGGTCCTTTTACTTTGAGAAATGGTGGATATAGAGAAAACGAAGGAAGGAAGAGTAGTCATTGTGGATGGTTGTGAGGTGTGTGTGTGTAATGTAGTATCCTGAAATAGGGCATACCTGGATTTAGAATGGAAGGCCTCTACTCTACAAAATTATATGTCATTTCAATATAGTTGGTGTGCATTTTTATTTAATTGCACCTAGGTAAAATTAAAGGTAACGGTTCCCCTTGACATTTAGTCCAGTCGTGTCCAACTCTAGGGGGCGGTGCCCATTCCCGTTTCCAAGCCAGCGCTTGACAGTTTCCATGGTCACATGGCCAGTGCGTTTAAACACAGAACACTGTTACCTTCCTACCGTGGAATACAGAACACTGTTACCTTCTTACCATGGTGGTACCTATTTATCTACAGTACTCACATTTACATGCTTTCGAACGGCTAGATTGGCAGGAGCTAAGACAAGCGACGGGAGCTCACTCCATCATGTGGATTCGATCTTACGACTGCTTGGTCTTCTGACCTTGCAGCACAAAGGCTTCTGCGGTTTAACCCGCAGTGCCACCATGTCTCTTGCACTTTCCCCTTTTCAAAATTTACTCCTTTAAGGGAAAATGAAGACTTCTTGGATCTCAGAAAAAATAAGGCATTTGGTAAATAGCCGATCTTTTCAAAATATGGCTCTTTGCTAAACCTACCACAATGCCGCATCTAGATAGGATGATGCAACACATAACAAACATAATATCCTTAAATTACCCCTCTTAAAACACAAAGTTTACTGAAATTTTCTTATCCTTGTTCTCCGAAGAGACAGATCGCGGTGTCTAAAGTTGTGAACATGGAAAAGCTTTTCTCACACAATCTCGAGCTTCCAAAGCCGTGTCCCTGTAGGCAGGATGATCAACATTTGTCTGAAAAGCTTTTCCTCAGCCTTCTTCACACGGGTGCCCTCCATAGGTGCTGGGCCTTATAGATGAGCAGGGTCTTCCTCAGACCATCATGCCAAAAAAGTGCCCTGTTGCATCGTTCAGCTAAGGTTAGCTGTCATTTTTGGGGAAAGCATTCTTTCAGTTCAATGGTGGGGATTCCCACACCCCTGATTTGAATGCACCCTCTTCTAGGATCATAATCTCTGGCGTTCTCCAGATGGCTGTGCCCCTTCCCCATTAGATCATTGGGAATTTCCTAGCTTTTTCATGTTTCCCCACACCCACTCTAGACGTTTCAACGCTTCTCCCAATGGTTACGTTTTCTAGTTTTTAGTATTTGGCTTTTGCACTTTGATTTTGCTTACTATGTTCCCCTTCAAGGAATTTCTCTGAGATTAAAACTGGCCCTTAGGTTTAAAGATATTCTTCAACCTGTTCCAGTCAGAGACAATTTCAAACTTCCTTTATATCTTTGCACCTGAATCTTAAGATAGAGGACCACATTATCAGTACAATGCAAGGTCAAAAAACAAAAAACGAACAAAAAACAAAAAAAGCCACAAGAGAGGAACAGAGGATGTTTGAAAAATTGAATTGGAATAGTGTTACCTGGATTTGCATAGTATACAACTTAAGTGATCTGGGAAAGGTGATTTTCTCCTGAGGACAATCTACTCCTGGTCTAAGGTTTACCAGGTCCTCGCAGGGCAATGATGTATGTCAGCTGAACAATTTATTTTTCTTGAGAAATATTTTTATATTAGGGAGTGATCAAATTGTCTCTCGTATGCAAGGAAAGTGTGAAAATACTACACAGTTCCATGTTATTCAGAATCATCAAGAGCCAAGCTGGTCTTCAAAAGGAAGGCTTACATGGCTGAAAGAATTCACATGATGTAGAACAGTGGTTCCCAACCTTGAGTCCCCAGATGTTTCTGGACTAAAACTCCCAGAAGCTTTCACCACTAGCTGGGCTGGCCAGGACTCCTGGGAATTGTAGTCTGGGGACCCAAGGCTGGTAACCACTGATGTAGAAGAAAACTCAACATGATGTCAGGAAATGAATGGTTTTCTGAGGGGGCTATTCTCCTGGAGGTGTATATCTACACCTGGAGGTGTGGTGGGTTTGTAATGTCTCTAATTCATCATACTTGAAATGTTACAAATACTGAGCTTTGCCAGATGTAATCGAGATGGATGGAGAATTCTCCAACCCTGCTACCCATAGTTACTGTTCACCCTGCTAAGATTCTCCTATTGTTTTGTGCCTTCTCTGCAGTGACAGAAAAGTCTCCCCTTATGAGCAAGTCCTGTTTTCTGCATGCAACTCAGAGTGCATATGTTCCAAAAATGAATGGGATCCAATATGTGGGGAAAATGGGATCACCTATGTCTCAGCTTGCCTGGCTGGATGCAAGACATCCAATGGAAGTGGGAAAGACATGGTAAGTATCTTATTTCTGTCTGGCTCTTTTTCCTTACAGCACAGTGGGCAACGTTATGGAATGCTCTCTCCTTAGAGGCTCAATTGGCGTCAAGGATAATCTCATTTTAGCACCAAATTAAACCATGGCTATTTATCAGATCCCATAGCTGTCAAGGACCATGGCTTTAATAGACTACAGAGACGTCTCTTTATTATTGTTGGTTTTAATGAATGTGTGCTGCCTTCGGTCCTTTCAAGGAGAAAGGTGGCATAAAAACAAAACAAGCAAGGAAATAAATATGCAGCTTTAATGTTTCAAAAGTGTTTAGTAGCTTTACTGTACTGAATTGTTTTATACTGATTTCGTTTTACTCTGACCTGAGATTTTAGGCTGTAAGTGTCTCCACTTAAGGGTTTAGGACCTTGATATTTGTGAAAACGTCTCCCCCCCTGAAAACAGCTGCCCATTTTACACACGCCTCCCAGATCACAGTGTTAAGGATGGCCACAGGGAGAAAAGCCAAAAAGACAACAGTGAGAAATTGGACCTTCTTGATGGTGGCCCCTACTCTGTGGAATATATTTCCATCTAAAGTACACCAGGTTCTGTTCCTCCTGACTTTTGTTGTTGTTGTTTAGTTGTTAAGTCGTGTCTGACTCTTCATGACCCAATGGACCAGAGCACACCAGGCCCTCCTCTCTTCCACTGCCTCCCGGAATTGGGTCAAATTCATGTTGGTCGCTTCGATAACACAATCCAACCATCTCATTCTCGGTCGTCCCCTTCTCCTATTGCCTTCACATTTTGCTAACATTAGGGGCTTTTCCAGGGAGCCTTCTCTTCTCATGGGATGGCCAAAGTATTGCAGCCTCAGCTTCAGGATCTGTCCTTCCAGTGAGCACTCAGGGATTATTTCCTTCAGAATGCATAGGTTTGTTCTCCTTGCAGTTCAGGGGACTCTCAAGAGCCTCCTCCAGCACCACAATTCAAGAGCATCAATTCTTTGGCGGTGAGCCTTCTTTATGTTCCAGCTGTTATGGTCCAGCTACACTAAATATGACATTTAGTGTACCTGATCCTAATTGCTATTTCTCTTAGCTGTATTAAAGTTTCTTACCTGAACAGAGGTGCATCCTGCAATTTAACCAGTTACTGTATGTTCTTCTTGAAGCCTTTATGGAAAGTGTTCAAGGATCTGATCAAATGCGATTATTTGTAAACACTGTGCCAGCCTTGTTTTCAAAGTGTCCGTGCACAAAGTCATCCTGGTGGCAGTTTTCATTTTCATTTTGAAGGAGATCAGGTGTGCCCCTTGCTGTGCCTGATGCAGCCGCTTTGAACTGCTTAGAAGGCATCACGTCCTCGCACTTGTTTCAAGATTAGCCTAGTGTGTCCCTGTGTTGGCTGTTACTAAACCCACATTTATTTTTATCTTTCCAGGTGTTTTATAACTGCAGCTGTGTGAAAATACCAGAGTTTTCATCGAGGCATTCCTCAGCTGTGGTCGGCCCCTGTCCAAAAGGAAACGAATGTCCAAAAATGTTCCTCTATTTTCTGGCGGTGTCAGTGATCACGTCTTATACTTTATCCATTGGAGGCACTCCTGGATACATTTTACTTCTAAGGTAAATAAGCTGCCCTTTCCACTGAAGGCTTGCAATTTGGTTTGGGCAGAAGGCCCACAAACCTACCTATTACGTTCTGTATGCTCTCATTCTGTTGGGGGCTCATCCCTGAGGGCAGGTGAAGCACTACCCCACTTTGGGCCATGCGCAACCAGCCAGCCCCTTCCTGTTTGATGAAGTCCCAACAATACACCATGTGTCCAGAATCCCGTTTGTGTTCCCAGAAGGTTTGTATAACTTGTCATAGTTCATTGCTGCTAATTGATGAGGTATGGAAATGCCATACAGATTTTTTGGACTTCTGTCTGACAGTCCCAAACCTACAGATACCTAAATGTGACTCACCTGGAGAAAGGCCTAACTCAAAGCCTTCATGGCCTAGCTTCCTGTTTAAACAGGAAGTTACCCTAATCTCCCAGTAACCACCAAGGCAGCTTCTTTTTTGAACAGGAAATTAAGCTATAAAGCTTTTGTGCAGGTCTTTATTATGGTGGCGCTGTGGGATAAACCGCAGAAGCCTGTGCTGCAGGGTCAGAAGAGCAAGCAGTCGTAAGATCGACTCCACGCGACGGAGTGAGCTCCCGTTGCTTGTCCCAGCTTCCGCCAACCTAGCGGTTCGAAAGCATGCAAATGCAAGTAGATAAATAGGGACCACTTCGGTGGGAAGGTAACAGCGTTCCATGTCTAAGTCGCACTGGCCATGTGACCACGGAAGATTGATGGAGATTCTCTTGGTGGTGCAACTGAGCTCACGACCAGGAACAAAACCAATGCATCTCATCAGTTAACTATAGCAAATTGAGCAAACCTTATGCAAGCAGAAATGGTTTTGGCCTATATGAGCCACACTTAGCTGCCTGTAGGTGTGGGTCTGTCAGGTGGAACTGGGAGTTGAAGTCTAAAAACTTCTCGAAATAGAGAATTTTGGGAGTTGGAAGACCAAAACAATCTGAACGGCACATCCCTATTGATGGAGTGTCTCTTGGTGGTGCAACTGAGCTCACAACCAGGAACAAAACCAAGGCATCTCATCAGTCAGCTACAGCAAATTGAGCAAACATGCAAGCAGAAATGGTTTTGGCCTATATGTGCATGTGAAAGGGAGAAGAGAAGAGCAACAGTAGACGGGAACATATCCACTCTGGGGCAGTGTGTACTTTTCTGCTCCTCAGCATTATTGTTGAGTGGGGTAGGGCATTGTCTGAATGAATATTTACTTTTTGATTTGATTTATATATTGCCCATTAGTGTGAAGCACAATTCTGGGTGGTTTACAATGATAGATAAAACATACAGTAATAAGCAATAAATACATAAGAATTAAAACATTAGCAGAATAGGAACAAGAGGCACCAAAGACCATTCTCTGTATGACAACAGGAGAAAGAGCGTAAACTCAAACAAGGTTGAAGTTGTTTTCTGAACGTTAGCAGGGAGGAAGGTAGGCGTAACTACCCAAGGAGCTTGTTCCACAGCATGGGAACCACCATGAAGAAAGCCTCTTGTGGAGGACTTTCATTCCTCCCTCGGGGTGGCTACTCAGAGGAGCTTAGCCTGGGAAGATCTGGTGGGTTGGGCAGATGACCTTGGAGATGACATTCCAAGAGGTAGTGAAGTTCCAAACCGTGGAGGGCTTTATATGTAAGCCTCAGAACCTGTGGCCTCTGTGTGTGCTTGTAGGTGTAAGTGCATGCAAACCTGCCTGCCTGCATGTATGGATGTAAGGTAAAGGTAAAGGTTCCCCTTGACATTTAGTCCAGTCGTGTCCAACTTTAGGGAGCAGTGCTCATCCCCGTCTCCAAGCCGTAGAGCCAGCGTTTGTCCGAAGACAGTTTCTGTGGTCATGTGGCCAGCGCGACTAGACACGGAACACTGTTACCTTCCCACCGTGGGGGGTACCTATTTATCTGCTTGCATTTACTTGCTTTCAAACTGCAGGAGCTGGGACAAGTGATGGGAGCTCACTCCGTCGCGTGGATTCGATCTTATGACAGCTGGTCTTCTGTCCTTGCAGCACAGAGGCTTCTGTGGTTTAACCCACAGCGCCACTATGTCCCATGTGTGGATGTACTTGTGCATAAATGCCCACTTTTGCCCTGACTTGGCCCATCATTAGTTTCTGGGCCTTTTGCCTCACCAGCCACAATAGCTACCAGCTACCAGCATCGTTACCCAATTGTGCAACTCGGCCTATGAGTCAGAAGCCACCATGCCCTCATGATATAAGACAGTGTTTCCCAGATATTTTGCTTCGGAAGGGTAATAGAAATCAAGTCAACCTTTCTGGTGGCAACTATTCACTATCACTATCTTGTTTTGTTTGGGGTGTGTGTGAAAGCTTCCAGTAACCCCTTGGACACTCCTGGTGGCAGTCAATATATGGTCCCTGATGAGCTACTTGATAACAAATCCCCGAAGGAGTAGAAAGAGAAGGGAAGGAGATAGTGTGAGAGGTACCCGTACAGTAGCCAAGGGGAAATCCTGGCAGTAAATGAAATCTAAAGAGAGTTGAATAGCAAGGGGAGGGGGCACAAATGCCTGACCCTCCAAAGTGCTACTGTTGACCTTAAAACTGAAACACGAGGGCATTTGTAGAAAGGCTAAAACTGTAACTTCTAGAGAACATGGAAAAACATTTTTAGCTCATAGTGGAATGTGTTTGTGTGTACCTAATTCATACATTTATCCATTGGTCAGCAAATGTTTGGTAGGGCAAAGTAAATCAAGTGACTCGCATGTATTGAACCAGGCCATGATGACCTGGAGGAGAAAGTGTGAATGGACTGAGTCCAGAATCAGCACTTTGCAGAACTGACACGGTATATTCCAGTGGTTCCCAGTCTTCGGTCCCTAGGTCTCCTTGGACTACAACCCCCAGGAATCCTGGCCAGCACAGCTTGTGGTGAAAGCTTCTGGGAGTTTTAGTCCAAGAACACCTGGGATCTTAAGCTTGGGAACCAATGGTATGTATTCCATAAGGAAATATCGGTTTTTAAACCAAGTACATTGCATGATGTTTAAGTTCTGTCTGCATTGTCCATTTTGTTTGTTGAGCTGTTTTGTGCATCTCTGCTTTGCCAGACCAACCTGGATCTGTTCAGAATTACTGTACACAGTTTTGGCTCTTATTAGAAATGGGCATGAACCTGTTGTTGGTTGGTTCATGCCAGTTTGTACTTCACCCGAACAGATGCTCGGCGCTTCCCTGCCCCACCTCCTCCAGGTGCTGCCTCTGAGTGGTCCACCCACCCGAAGAGTGAGGGCTGGGAAGCACCGAACCCCTGTTTGGCCGAAGTACAAGCTGGCAGAAACCATCTCTAGTTCTTATCTGAATTGCTGGAAAGCATCCATCTAAAAATAATAGTATTTGCCATTTTTTGAAAGACTTTCTCAGCGTATTCTCGAAGAATCTCGGAGGTGAATCTCGAAGGCGAATCTCAGTGGCTGAATCTTTAAAAATCCGTAATATTCAAGTTTAACTGAAAGTGTAATTTGCCTGGAACCCTAGAGGTGGCAGTCTTACATCAATATTGGTTCTCGTGACTTTCGAAGTGGTTGGAAGTATTACTGGAAGATGTCATATATGCAAAGTTTGTGTGATTAAGAAAACATGTATGAAATAAACTAGGAAATAGTATGAAACAATTCTTTGCATCTTGTACAACAGGATTGGGTAGTGTTAGTGGTCTAACACACTGGTTCTTAACCTTTGTTACTCAAATGTTTTTGGACTGCAACTCCCAGAAGCCTTCACCATCAGCTCTGATGGCTGAGGTTTCTGGGAGTTGCAGTTCAAAAACTCCTGAGTAACAAAGGTTAAGAACCACTGGTCTAACAGAGCCAGAGTCATAGTTTATGGGGTCAGAGTACCTGTAACTTTTTTATTGTAGGGATGATCTGCTTATCAGGCACCCACCCTCCTCAGACTTCCCTCTGAGTTTGGTTGACATCCTCATGATAGCTGCAGGCAGAGGATGAATATACTTAGTAAAACATCTATTGTGGCAAGCAACCTCTCCTGAAAGTCAATGTGTTGTGTGGTGGCTCCTCCATAAACAAGCAATTAAGGGTGATTGGCTTTACAAAAGACCTGCCTTGTGGGAGAAGAAGATGGCTAGAACTCATTTGTTGGTATAAATCAACAGTTTCCTGCATTTCAAGGTTCTGCTTGGAGTTGGAGTCAGGGTTATAGGGTGAATACCTCCCATTTAGCTTTTACCACAAAGCCACTGGATATAGAAGGGTGGTAGGCATCACTGGTGTTTTATTTTGTTTGTTTGTATGTTTCAGATGCATTAATCCACAACTCAAATCTTTTGCCCTGGGCATCTATACTTTAGCTATAAGAGTTCTAGGTAAGTATGAGCTTTGGGAAGTATGAGTGAGTTTTTCTTTTGGGTCTTTAAAACATTTTACATTTAAAACATGAATGGCCCAGACTTTACAGTGGCTAAACTGGAGGAATAATATAATATTGATTGATTGATTGATTGATTGATTGATTGATTGATTGATTGATTTGATTTGATTTGATTTGATTTGATTTGATTTGATTTGATTTGATTTGATTTTTACCCCGCCCCTCTAGACCATGTCTACTCCACATTATTGGAGGAATAATGTGCTCTTCCTTGCATGCTCTAAGAATTTGGCAGCTTTGGTACATGCAGTTGTACCCTTGTGGCCCTGTTGGCTTTTCCTGCGAATCCTTGGCTGTTGGTATGTCCACCCATGACATAAATATAAGGCTCATAGACGCTTCCTTACTGTGATCTAATAGCTGTTCCCGGATGCCAAAGACGCACCTGAACAGCTACAGGTTACCCAAAGTCCACACCTTTCTCATTCACTAGCACTTACCCTCTCAATAACTCACTCTAAGATGTTTGTAGGAGAAAGAATTAAAACATTACCTACAGTTACAAGTTACACTTGTGTGTGCAACTTTCGTTGCTGCACACATATTTAGCCACCCACTGAACAGATCAACAGCAAACAAACTGCAACCAACTCAGGAATGAGGGAAAGGACATTCAGCAGAGAGACGGGCTCTCTGAATTCTTTTTTTAAAATTTTATTTGATTTCAGACATACAAAAAACAGAAGCAGGGAAAAAAAGAGAATAATAAAGAAGAAAAACTAAACTAAACCCTCTGCTAAGCTAAACCCTCCCCCCTTTGGAGTCAGAGACTCCAGCCTCGTTAGCCCTCTGCTCTCCACAGTTTGGTTTCCAGTGTATGCTAAGTAGATATACATACAGTGATGCCTTGCTTAATGATTGCCTCGTTAAACGATGAAACCGCTATACGGTTACTGTTTTGCGATCACTTTTGCAATCGCAAAACGCTGTTTTAATAGGCAAAATTCACTTCCCGATCATCGGTTCCCTGCTTTGGGAACCGATTTTTTGCTAGACAATGTTTTTAAAACAGCTGGATTGGCGGCTTCAAAATGGCCACCTGCTGTGTAAAATGGCTCCCCACTGTGTTTTTGGATGGATTCCTCGCTTTACAGGCACCGAAAATGGCCACCCCTAAGGAGGATCTACGCTGGACGGTGAATTTTCAGCCCATTGGAACGCATTGAACGGGTTTTCAATGCGTTTCTATGGGATTTTTTATTTCGCTTAACAAGGATTTCGCTCTACAGCGATTTCGCTGGAACGGATTATCCTCGTTAAGTGAGGCACCACTGTATATGATAAAAGTTGCCCTACGCTCATTTTTATATGTATTTCCAGGGTGTATTTCCAGACCTGGCTATTAGAGGGAGGAAAAGACCATGCAATGAATAGTGTTCAATATTTGTGGGGGCTTTTTTCAGCATCTGTGGTGGTGAGGGTTTGGAACCAATCCCCCACAGATATTGCAGTCCCACTGTATTTTTTCTAGGAATGAGAAAATCTCTGAGGTTCAGTTTTCTTGCATTTTGCTGGATCTCACCTGTGTTGTTTTTTTTCCTGATAGAGTTTTGTGCTGGCTTAGGAGACTTTATATGTGTGTGTTTCCTAGTGGAAATTTCTATTCCCCTAATATGCACCTTTCATTTATGCATTTTCCCCAATGTAGGTATTTATTTGTGCATTTTACCTAACATTTTTCCCATTCACTAGATTACTGCCTGCTGTTTTAACTGTGCATATTCTTAGCAATTTGGTTTTTAATGAGCACATTGTTTCCTGTTCACGTTGTCACGTTATAGTGTTTCCAACTTACCAAGTTGTTTCCAACTTATGGCAACTCCATGAATGAATGACCTGCAAAAGTCATATTATCAACAGGCCTGCTTTGCTTTTGCAAACTCAAGGTTACAAAAAAAATTGAAATCCCTTCTATTTTTCCCAGCACTATTGTCTTTTCCAATGAGTCTTGTCTTCTCATGATGTGCCCAAAGTAAGGACAGCCTCAGTTTCCTCATTTTTGCTCCTCACGAGAGTTCAAACTTGATTTGACCCACTTGTTGGTCCACTTGGTGTTCCAGGATATCCACAAATCTCTGGCCCAACACTATGGTTAAAATCTATCTGTGAAGGTTCATAGTCATCTAGGTGAGGCTATCTGGAAGCTGAGTCATGGCAACTGAACTTCTTTCTTACTATGTCAAAATGTTTCACTACTCATGCAAGTACAGTGGTGCCCTGCACAGCGAGGTTAATCCGTTCCAGATTAACCATCGCTATGGGGAAACATCGCTATACGGATCGGAAAATGCCATTGGAACGCATTAAATTAATGGCTTCTAAACTCACCGTTAAGTGATGTTTCCCCATCCGGCCGCCATTTTCGCGCCCTTGGTAAGTGAGGGTAGGGCGCGAAAACGCTGCACATGGCCATTTTGGGTGTTCTGGTGGCCATTTTGGAACCACCGAATAGCTGATTCCCCGACATCGCAATGCGAAGATCGGTAAGCGTTTCGCTTACTGATCATCGCAAAGCGATTTTTGGCCATAGAGACCATCGGTATGCGATCGCATTAGCGATCTAAAAAAATAGATCGCTATGCAAATTCGTCATTAAACGGTGCGCTCGTTAAGCGAGGCACCACTGTAGCTTCTTCGGTCTGATATATCCCTGATATATCCTCCACATTGATTTCACTTCCCCCTGGTCTGAATAGGCTCATTAGATGGACACAGGACTAGGAGTGAAGGATAATCCCACTTCTGCAGTCCTTCTCCACCCATTGTCATGGTTAGAATCCTACTGCTTAGCATAGTAAGTCACATTGAACTAGTGGGGATTTGTTGAGTCAGCTCCTTTACAAGTTCTAATGCTTCAGTGGGGCTACTCTGACTATGACTTAATTAATCATAGTACAGTAAGTTATAACTTGGTTAGGCTCATTTAAATCAGTGGAACTTACAGAGGAGTTGACTCACCAAATCCCCAGTGGGCCTACTTTAATTTACTACTTTGATTTACTACTAGAGATGGGCAGGAACCAAACTATGAACCAGAAAAACTGATAAATTGGGCTACTTAGTGGTTCGCTCCATGACCCAGTGGCAGGACCAAGTAGGGAGGTGAGGGGGGCAGTGGGAAGAGGGAGGAACAGGCAGGTATGAAACTCCTACTGGTTCATTAGGGAGGAGTTGGTAATAGCTTGTGGTTCATGATTTGTGGGTAGCCACAAAGCACAAACTATCAAAAACCACAATTTTTCTGGTTTATGTCCATCTCTAGTCGTTCTAATGCTTCAGTGGGGCTACTCTAACTATGACTTAATTTAACATAGTAAGTTATAACTTGGTTAGGCTCATTTAAATCAGTGGAACTTACAGGGGAGTTGACTCACCAAATCCCCACTGGGCCTACTTTAATTGTGATTTACTACCTGGTCCTGCCACTGCTGCTACCTCCTCTGCTGCCGCCATCATTGTCAGAGAGAGCAGACCAGCTTCCCTACCTGGAGCTGGCCACTGTCTCTGTGCATGCACCCTCTGCCCAACTGGTGGCAGCAGCGGCGGCAGCAGCACCAAGCAGGGAGGCAACAGGGGCAGTAGGGAGGGGTGAGCAGATGGGGAGTTTCCCCCCAGTATGAACCCAAAGAATGAACTGCAAACCGGTTTGGGGGGCTTTGTAATGGTTTGTGGTTCATAGGTAGCCACGAACCACTGTTTTTTTCAGTTGGTGTCCAACTCTACTTACTACCCTAAGCAACAGGATTTCAGCCATTATGTCAAATGAATCCATCCCCCCCCCTTCTTTACTGTAGCTGGAATCCCAGCTCCTGTTTACTTCATCATCCAGCTTTCTGCCCTCCTAATCTCAGAAAAGTACAGATTCTCAAGGCAGGCTGAATATCTTCTCATAATAAGCAATGAAACGGTTTATTTCCTTGAGACTTTTGGATCTAACGAATTTTTGTTCAATCACTAGTATGTTAATACTTTGCAATTTCCCTCCCATATTGTAGCTGGAATCCCAGCTCCTGTTTACTTTGGAGTCTCGATAGATACAACTTGTCTCAAGTGGGGAAGCAAAAGGTGTGGAGGCCAAGGAGCCTGCAGGCTGTATGATTCTAAGGCACTTAGGTAAGCAAATGATTTCTCTTCTGACTATGACATCTTCAATTCCTCCGATGCTTTTGGGACAAGTGATAACTGTATGTACTGGACCCATTAAGTGTTGACTGTTCTGCTAGAGATGGGCACCAACCAGTTCATCCCAGTTCATCAAGGCAGCAGCACAGGTGCTGCTGCTCCCCTCTCCTGCCTCCTCAGCCAATATAGCCACTCACCAAGCTCTGCTTGCTTGCTTTTTCCACCTCCTCAGCTAATCTCCCAGTCAAGAGCAAGAGTATGGACTTCTTTGCCCCACCCTTTCTACTTGCTTGCTTTTTTCACCTCCTCAGCTAATCTCCCAGTCAAGAGCAAGAGTATGGACTTCTTTGCCCCACCCTTCTCTCTGATTGGCAGAGCAGCCAAGAGGGCGGGCGGACTTCTTTGCCCCACCCTTTTCTCTGGGGGCAGAGAAGCCTGAGCTGTTGCCAGGATTGGAAGATCAGTTGAGTTGGTGCCGGAAGCTAGCATGCTGGGCCTAATGAATGGCTGATTGAGCCAGAGGAGGAGGGGAGAGGAGCAGCAGCAACTGTGCTAATGCCTTTACAAACTTGGACAAACTGGTTCATGCCCATCTCTATTGTCAACAATCATATGCCACCAGTTGCTGTGCTCTGGTGCTGTACTGCCCTTGTATAAGCAAGAGGAATTATAAGCCTATCTGACTACCATTGGCTTAACTACGCTGATGTCACAGAAGACATCACAGCCTAGCAAGCGGAATGGACAGCTTCACTAGATGGATATATCAGTCTAATATCATTTAGAATGTTAGTAGAATTTGCGGACAAATGGACAGCTTCGCTAGATGGATATATCAGTCTAATATCATTTTTAATCTCCATGACTCCATCCTAAAGATCCAATCCTAAAGAATTCTGGGATCTGTCACTCAGGGAGGGACTTAGAAGTCTGTGTTGGTTTGCTGAAGTGCAACAGACAATTGTCAATGCCTTGACAGACTACAAAATTTTGAGATTTCTTGGGATGGAGCCATGAGACTGAAAGTGACATCAAACTGATGGAACCGTTTAATGCAGTCAGATTTATGAGATACAGTACATAAGAATTTTCTTCATGCATTGTTCATGAGCTTTGAAACAGCATTTTATTAGCATAACAAAATGATTTTAAAATCTTAAATAGGCACGGGATTTTCTTGGGGAGGGGTTGGACTACAAATCCCATCGTTCTCTATTCTAGCTATCCCACTGGATAGTCCCCCTCCTACAGAAATGTGGCTCACCTGGAGAAAATGCCTGGCTGGGAAGCTTTCAGGGCCTGGCATAAGCCGTAGCTCCATCCAGCTTCATGTTCAGAAAGGAAACTCCCAACTAACAATGGGCCCAGGAAGTGATGGCACAGCAAGACCTATGCAAAGACAAAAAACCCACATTTTTAAAAAGATTAAGTCATGGTTCTGATAAACGGACCAGCAATGCTATCCAAAGGTTCAGGTATGCAGTCCATAATGGGTCTGGAAAGGAAAGCATTCTTTTGTGTCAACATAACTGCATGCCCCAACACAATCACTTCCAGTTGGCTGATCTCGGACTGACCTACCTAAATAAATCTGCTGGCACAACAGCAGTGCTGGTTAAGGTCTGCTGACAGAATAGTCAAAGAGAAAAAAAGAAAAGAAAAAAGGTATGGGAGGAGCTGTGTTATACCAGATCCATGCTCCTCTCAGTCCAGACTCATAGCCACTGGGCTGGAGAATGAGACCAGGATCCAGTTAGTCTTAAGTAATTTCCAACATCCTTAGGCTGGGAGAGGTTTAGATTCTGCACAGCCTTAGCCGGTGGAGTGTCAGCTCAGCCAGCCCAAAGCCCTCGTAGCTAGCCCTAATTTATAGGTTTAGTTTCTGCTGTATTTGGATTGTCCAGTTTTTTCCTCCTATCCACAATATGAAATAATTTGGAAACTTTGGTACATTTTTACCACCAATAAACAAACAAACAAACAAAACAAAACAAAAAACCCCAATACCCAAAATCAAAACTAAATTCTCACCCATCCCTCAACACGAGTAACGGATTACCTCCTTGCTTCCCAACAGGTATATCTACCTGGGTTTGACTGTTGTTTTGGGCACCATGTCCACCTTTCTAAGCATTGCTGTCCTGATCGTTCTAAAGAAAAGATACGGACCACGCAGTGAAAGCATCACAATCGGTGGAGAGAGGGAAACCTCTTCTGCAAAGAGGAGCAGTGACTTTGTCAACAGCGACCACTCCATTCAGACAACTTACTGGCCAGAGAAGGAAACACGACTTTAGGAAGACTTGATGTCTCTGGAAAAAAAAGGTTTTGTTGGAAGCAGGAAATTCTGACTTAAGCTCCATTATAAATTCAGGGGTTTGGATAAGATGTGGGAAGAGAGGATGTAACTTTTTACCAAATGTCTTAAACTTGTAAATACAATACACTTTTCTAGAACCTGTAGAGGCCACAAAATGCTCTTTGCCTTTGTATTTCCTAAAAAGAAAAAAAAAATCACACACCTACACAGAGTAGAACTTATTCTCTGCATGTAACAGATGATAGACTTGGTGTGTAAATGAACGGAGCGACCATTTCTACCCTTTCTTGAAATAATCTTTCATTTGGAAGAAAAGTTCTAGCTGGCCTGCTGTTAGGGCAGGATGGTCCAGAAACCATGAAGAAGATGAGAAAATTAGAAAAGGTATGCTAGATCATATCAAAAGCCTATCTAATTCAGCCTTTGGTTGACACAGAAGATGTCCAGATCCCTCCAGGAAGTCCACCAGCAGAACATGAGTTCAAGAACACCATCCTGTTTGTGCTCCTTGACAACCAATGCCTAAGAATGCTCCCTTCCGCATTGCAAGTAATATATAGCTGCTGTGGTTTATAGCCACTCATATTCTTTTCCGTCTCCTCATCCATGTGTAAGAAGTAGCCCCACCCCATATCTTTATGCTTCTGCAGAAGAGGGGAAATGGTCTCATGAACACAGCAGGGAGACATTTTGTCTCATGTGCCTTGCACATATATTTCTTTACAACCTTCAAGATAGAACCCTCACTGTTTAATTTAGAAGGAAACCGACAGCAAGCACCCTGATTTTCCAGGTTGTGGAATTCTCCATGCCACCCATTTCTGTGCTTCAAAAGTATGACTGAAGAACATGCACAGACCGGATCAGCTTGTATATATACCGTATTTTTCTGTGCATAAGATGCCCCCATGTATAAGACGCCCCCCACTTTTCTAACCCCAATTTAAGAAATCTAAGTGGGGCTTAGCAAGTGGAGGGGGAAAGGGATCAAAGCGCTGCAGGATCGCTTTGATCCCTGCTTTCCCCTCCACTTGTTTTTGTTCTCTCCTCAGCTTACTTCTGTGTATAAGATGACCCTCAATTTTCAGTCTAAAGATTTTAGACAAAAATATAGTTTTATACATGGAAAAACACTATATATATTTCTCAGCATCATATATATATATGATGCCATGACAAATGTGATGGACAATTCCCTTAAACACAAATTAAAATGTATTCTCAGAGCACAGCCTATGACTTTCTGCTTCTTTCCATTCTGTTTTGTGCACATGTGAGATAGTGTGTTCATTTTGTAGTTCATTCTCTATATGTATGGGGAAATCTTTGCTACTAAATACTGTGGGTTGTATTCTATTGTATATATATGGAGCAGAAGGTAAACAATGAAGGTCTCCCACCATTGATCCAGTGTCATATGCCTGTTCTTGTGCTGGTTGCAAGATTGGTTCCTAAACGGTCACACAATGGCAAGCTTGTTGAGTCAGGAGGGGGAGGCTTACATGATCTCCTTCCTACCAAGCATTTAATCAATAGGAGGGTATCCCATTTTTAAAGAACAGTTACTCAACATGCAAAAATGTTAAGGTGATTTGATCATAACAAAAGTAAAATCAGAAATGAGCTGAAACTGAGGAAATGGTCACCATCTATCCAGTACTGGTTAGGCCTCATCTAGAATACTGTGTCCAATTCTGGATGCTGCACTTTAAGAAGGATGTCAACAAACTGGAGCAAGTTTAGAGGAGAGCACCAAAGTTGATCAGGAGACTGGAAAGCCCTGAGAGGAAAGATGGAAAGAACTGGGCATGTTTTGTTGTTGTTGTTTAGTCTTGTCCGACTTTTCGTGACCCCATGGGCCAGAGCACGCCAGGCCCTCCTGTCTTCCACTGCCTCCCGGAGTTGGGTTAAACTCATGTTGGTTGCTTCGATGACACTGTCCAACCATCTTGTCCTCTGTCGTCCCCTTCTCCTCTTGCCTTCACACTTTCCCAACATCAGGGTCTTTTCCAGGGATGTTTAGCGTTGAGAAAAGATGACTGAGGGGCAATAAGATAGCACTTTTCCAGTGAGAGCACAGAGTGCTGTCCTCTGAAGATGCCGGCCACAGAGACTGGCGAAACGTTAGGAAGAACAACCTTCAGAACATGGCCAAAGAGCCTGAAAAACCCACAACAACCATTAGATCCCGGCCATGAAAGCCTTCGCGAATACTTTTCCAGTACTTGAAATGTCATTTTACAGAGGAGAGGAAGGATCTATTCTCAATCTTCCCAAACTGCAGGGCACATAAAAATGGACTCAAGTTACAGGAAGCCATATTTCAGCTGAATATCATATTTCAGCCGAATATCAGGAAAAACTTCCTAATTGTTAGAACAGTATGACAATATAACCAATGCCCTCAGGAGGTGGTGAATGCTCTAACACTGGAGACATTCAAGAGAAAATTGGACAACCATCTGTCGGATCTGTTTTGATTTTTATTCCTGCACTGAGCAGCTGGTTGGACTTGTAGGACCCTTCTAGATCAGTTATTTTATGATTCTATGATTCAGCCCATTTATTCTGCTTTCTCAGCATTGACAACGCTGACTGTCAAGAGTTTTAAACAGGGGTCTTTCTGTTCTATCAGATTTTTCCACTGGAGATGTCTGTGGTTGAATTTCAGCTTGGTGTTGTCTAAGGCTTCAATTCTCATTTTTAAAAAATAAGTCATTACCTTTATAGTCTTTTCCTGGCTCTGCAACAGCTATGAAAACAGTTAGTTACTGTTAGACCACATTTTTAAAAAAAAGGGACTGTTTAGTCTTCCTTTATTCCAAACTAACTGAAATAGTTACACTTGGTTTGCTGTTCTATAATTCTGCATATTTTCTGTTCCACAACATAAGGCATAGCAGAAGCCAGCACTTGAACTGTCCAATATTCCTCTTCCACGATTACTGTAGTCACACCACGAAGTAAACGAAAACATTACAATTGCACTGCAAAAGGGATGACACTATCCCATGTTACATACATAACTTAATATCTTAGTTATTGGAAGATGGATGTAATTAAAAGTAACTAGTTGCTTGTAACTATTCAGTTCCAAGCTTTGGTCTTGCCCAACCCTACTCTGCTAACAAGTATCATGTTTGTGGACAAGGCAAAGTGGTTATTTGATATAGAGGCAGCTTGGATTCTTTTGGTTCCGCAATGGTGATAATTATTTTCTAACAGATATCTCACACCTTCTAGATCATAGTGCTCCAAAGTCTACTTTTGTTTAAAAAGGCAATCAGAATAACAGCAGACTCTAACTTCCTGAACACTGGAAGAGGCTGGATTAATATCTTTCCGTATGCTTTAGCTGTGGGTTTCCTGCTTCATCAGTGGCTGGACTTGATGACCTTTGAGGTTCCTTCCCGCTACAGTTCTACAGCTGAAATCCTGTTGCATCAGGTATGCCATGGAAGGCTAATGATGTCATCAGCAGCAGTGATGATTTTGCAAAAATAAAACATTTGTGACTTCTCCCCTGAATGTCCCAAGACTTCCATGTAATCTCATTCATTGCCAGGGAGCCATTAAGGGTTGTTGGACAGGGAAATCTTTAATTACAAAAAATCACTCCCACCAAGTTGCCTTTACCAGTGTTGGCAATTTTCAGTAATTAAGGACTCCCCTCTTCCCTCCATCCTGTGGCTCCCAACAGCTTCCAGAAAATGAAAGGGGTTACATGGGAGAAATCAGAAATGTTTCCAAAGAAATTTACCACTGCTGCTAGTGTAATCGGTTTTATGTGGAGTAACTTACAGCAACAGGATTTCAGCCTATGATGCTATGATAGCCCAAAGAGAAGTGAGCATGTGCATTGGCTACTTGCGCATCAGAAGACTGTCATGAAAATCAAGTGATGAGGGAATCACATGGTATACTGGAAGCAGGAAGGCTGGCTGGACCTCAAACTGGGAGCATGCCCATCTGACAGAGAATGGTATCTACAGAACAGTAGCAATTTAACAGCAAAAGCCGTACCAGGTGGCAAATCAAACTTAAGGGACACAACCTGAAGACTCAGATAAAACACAGTTGCATAAAACACAACATGTGAAATATTTTAAAACCACAACAATTAAAAATGATTTGCCTTGCCCTGAACCGGCAACAGAGCAGGGCCATAGAAAACCCACTTTTTTCATTTTAGTTCTCTGGAAGTTGCCACAATTCTCACAAAATGTCCATCTATCAGATCTAGAGCGTAGAAACGTTAGTAGAATTCCCCAGAGAGCACGGGCGGCATTTAAATGGTTTCGTAGCCCAAACCTGAGCTTTCCGGAGCTCTAAAACTCATTTGGCCTTCACTCTAATGACCGTATCATTCCTGTGACCAAATCCCTACATGGCCAATGATCCATGTTAAACGGGAAAGGAAGAAAAACCCAGGCGATCTTGGACGCTCACCCCACTCTGGCACAACACGCTCTTCGGTTGCGGGCCCCAAGCTTGTACAACTTTAATCTTGGCTTATTCCCAGCCCGGCTGGGGCTGCAGAACCCTTGGCTTTCGTCCCAGTTCAGGAATGCCAGGCGTCGGCTTGTGCCTCTTTCCAGGGCATGGAGGCCTGGCTGCCTTCCCAGCTGCTTCTTAGAAACGCTCCGATAATCCCAGCGCCACGAAACAGCTTCAGATGGGGTCGGCCACCGGAAAAAACAAGTGCCGCGTTCTTCTTTGGGAGACTTCTTTATGTACGTACGCCGCTGGGTGTCGCACCCCACCCCCATCGCCACAGAAAGACGCAAAAGGTAACGTCAGTTTTGAGGTCTCTCCTGAAATCTTCACACACCTCTTTGGCCTCTTCTCTTTCTTCCATTAAATGGATGGGCTGCTAGTGGGTCCCTGCGGTTTCGCTCTCTTGCTTTGCCCGACCAGAAAATCATTAGATACTTCCTTTGGGTTTTTGGATACTGGGAATTGATGGAGTTGTCATTTGTCCATCCTTTCCCTTAGTTTGCATGCACGCATGATTGTCTGTGGGAGCATGCGTGTGTGAATGTCTGGGTGGCCTTGTGCCCTACATGATAAAGAGTAGTCCTCTATTTTAACTTTTTTCTCTCTCTCAAATTGAAGGGCTGCCCAGTCTGAGCCTGGTCTAAAGAGCTGTAAGGACTGGTCTCAGGTTGTGAACTGGCAGGGAAGCAGGTGTTGGTCTCTAGAATTTAGGGCACTCTTGCTCTTTTGCAATAGAAACTGATGTAGAAACCTATCCCTCCCTCCAGTAAAGCTGGTCATAGTTTGTATCTGTTTATATTTATCCAGAACAATGATGAGCAGATGAAGATGCTTGAGACCTTAAAGTGGGTCTGCTCAAGGAACAACCTGTTAGTTATTTACTGACTCCAGAACATGTGGTGCCCACCTTGCTTGCTTCTTTCTTTCTTCTCTCCCTCCCTCCTGT